AATGTATTGAAACAAGGAAAAATTACACAATATTTACAGTTAGTTTTGGTATATTCTTGGGAAGACTGTTCCTGCAGAATGGGTTGACTAAATCGCAGTCGGGCAGAGTCTCTCGATTCGATCTCTTCTTACTTCCTTTTTCCCTCGTCTTCCCGGTACCAACCCATATTTATATGGTCGGTACTCCACTTATGTAAATTAGGTGTATCGTACCACAACACTTTCATAAAAAAAACATATTTATAATAATTTCGATAATCTGTGAATAGTTCCTGAAAGTTTCATTAACATCCGATAATTATTTCTATTTTTGCACGATTTTTCAAATTAATGTGTGTCATACCAAAAAAACGTGCTAAAAATTGTCTATGTTATTTACTAGTTCTGCTGATACAAATAGAAAAAAGTTTTTTTTAATCAAAATTTAGAATGTTCTAAAAAGAAGGAAAATTTTTTAAAAATAATTAAAAAAAACTTTGGTCTTTCCTCTTAATAATAACATAAGCATTTAGACAATAAAATTTTGTTTTCGGCAAGGTTGGCGTCTTTTTCATCATGCTATGCTCTTTTTTTAGCGATTTCGTGGAGGTACCTAAGTAACGTTTAGCGAATTTAAAGTAGGACTGCAAAGCTTTGAAGAAACTGAAAAGATGATTGAGGAGAAAATACCATAATGGCCTTCAGAATGCAAAGACCAAAGCCACACATGAATAATGTTCCTACCTGTTTTACATGTGGTAAACCAATACATAAAATCCTTGACTGCTGAAGTAAAATTTGTAATTATCCAGTAAATAATTCCCCCTCAAATGATATAATTCCAATCCAAATCCACCAAGCAAAAATCTTATTTGCCATGTGTATCACACAAACCTGGACACAAAAGTACCAAGTGCAGAAACAAAAAAAAAGCTCATTTTGTGAAAAATGTTGAACATGTTTCAGAAAATTAAAATTCTGATAGATTCCAGATACCGTATGCAACAAAAACAGTTCATTTGTTGATTGTTTTACATTGCAATTTAAAAGATATAAAGCTACAAGAAGTTGTGGAAGAAATGAAAATTACCGCTAAATTAAATTTAAACTGTGAAATATGTATCTAAGATAAAATGGTACTGAAGAAAGATTTTGGCGAGCTCTATTTGAAATGGGTAGATGTCTATCAATAGAATCAAAGTTACCAAAGTTCTTAGGGTCATAACAGCTGTATATGTTATTGGTATTACAGTGAAAGAACTGGTAAAACTGACTTCAAAATGTTCATGGACCACAAACCTAACCTTCGCAATACACATATTTGGCACAATTTGTTACATCTACATACGAGATAGAAAGAAATTGGACACTAAAGGTGAAAAAGCAATTTTTATAAGCTACGAATAATCAAGTCCTGCCTATTTAATATATATAACAGAAACCACAAATGTCAAGAGGTGTGTAAAATTTACTGAAAACCTTGAAAATCTTACTATGTCTGACAATTCTTTACTTCCAATTGAAAAAAAATAATGCAATACTTCCCAACTATTTGCAGAAAAATCCTTGTGGGGGGAGGAAAAACAAGAAAGTCAGATTATACAAATCCAACTGATAATATGGGAGATAATCCTTGTGCAGAAATACCCAACAGAAGATACCCTAGCATGTTATGAAAAATGCCTGAATATTTAAAAGATTACATTGTTAAGAATTCAGACAAAATAGTAAATCTGACTATAGACTATTGTTCAGTAAAATATATACCCAATACTTAAATGATAATAAAACGGTTTTAAAGACATAGAAAAAGAAATAAACATTCTGAAAATGAACAATACATATGAATTAACTAAACTCCCATCTGGTAAAAATGCTGTTGGGAGTCAATGGGTTTTAAAACTAATAACACTAGTAATGAACAGTTCAAAGCTCAGTTTGTTGTGAAAGATTACTTGCAAAAAGCTGGAATAGATTATGAAACTTTTTCCCACACAGCACATTTATCATCTGTAAGGACTTTAATGCAATTAGCTATTCAGCATAATTTATTTGTCCACCAAATGAATGTAAAAACCGCATAATTAAATGTGCTGATTGACTGAAGTATATGTTCAGAAACCCAAGGGCTATTCTATTACAACTAAAAACAATGATAAACTTGTATGGTGACTAAAAAAAAGTCATTATATGGACTTAAACAAAGCAGATGAAATTGGAATCAAGTCCTACACACATTTAACTGGTCAAGGTTTCTCCTGATCCTTGACAGACTCTTGCATTTACACCAAATATACTTCAAATACAATACTGATTGTTTAGGGTTGATGATATATATATATATATATATATATATATATATATATACTCATTACTGCAAGTTGCAATTCTGCATTAATTAATGTAAAAACGTTTAAATGAATGATTCAAAACATTGATCTTGGACAGCTGTCTTTCCTTCTAGGTATAAAATTTATGTTTAAAAATAACTCCGTAGAGATAAATGAAACAAAATATACTGAAAAAATTCTAACCAAATTTGTAATGCAAGATTGTAAACCTCTGTCATCACCTTGTGAAAAGGATATCAATATACTGAATGAAATCAATATTGAATCAGAAGGCAAGAAATATTACCGAGAGATAGTTGGAAGCCTCATATATATTATGACTGCCACTCTTCCAGATATATGTTCTACGGTAACAAAATTGCCTCAATATTTAGTGAATCAAACCATGGACCACTTGATAGGGGGGAAAAAAAAAAAGAAAAAGTTTTTACACTATTTGAAAGGCACAAAAAAAACACAGTTAAATGCTTAATAAATCTAATAAGGCCCTAACTTTTAAGACATTTTTGTGACACTGATTGGGGAAATTGAAAAGATTACCACAGTATTACAGGGTACAGTTTTCAGTTATCACCAAACAGTTTGATGATTTTGTGGAAAACAAGAAAACAACTTATAGTAGCATTGTTAACATGTGAAGCAGTGTCCATGTTACTAGCAGCTGCAATACAAGTAACAATATATCTCAGGTCATCCCATAAGTTCTGTCCAAATTTTAACTTTTTGTTAAAGTGAACGAAATTTAAAGAGTATTTTATAATTTCTAATGGATCTGAACATTATTTTTATGTTTAGATGCATTTAAACTGAACAATTTTTATTTCAGAGAACAATAAAATTAAATTTTGTTTGATTAAAACCCTGCTAACATGGAAGTACCCAAGAATCATTTGAGGCACATAATGTTTTATGAGTTAAAGAAAGGAAACTCAGCAGCTGAAGCAGCTAGAAACATTCACTCAGTTTATGGAGAAGAATGTGTGAATGAAAGAACTTGCAGAAGATGGTTTGCAAAATTCAGAGGTGGAGATTTCACCCTTGAAGATGAAGATCGAACCAGACGTCCAATTGAGGTTGATGAAAAGCTTCTTGAAGCAGCCATTGAAGAAAATCCTGCTTTATCAGTTGAGGAATTG